TAGTCATAGTCGAAAATATGACGTAACAAATCAAAATAGAGATCATAACAACAGATAACACGAATAAACGTTTAGCGTCAGTGAGTGCCATCTACTGACGCTAACAGTTCCGGTCGGAAACAGCGAGTTTCTTGCAGGTTTTCGCCGGAAATTCACGGAATACTGCTTCAGGAATCATTGTCCTGGGTAGGGTTGACCGAAGGTAATCGGGGTCAGGAAACACAATGGCGTTGTTAGTTTTTTGAATGGACGCGGGCGTTAACAGCCGAAATCGATTCCCTGTTGAAAGACGACTTTTTCGCTTTCATCATTCTAGTTTTGAAGCTACATCGACATTTTCAGGCACATTTAATCATTATGTGAAATCTAGACTTAATGTGCCTTGATGTTCCTATTGCACTAAGATCCAATGTTTTTCCGTTGGAGAGCTAATCGTTTTAATGAAATACTTCAGTTATTATAGGTCATACTGATTTTAATTTACTCGCCGGATTGTAGCCGTTTTCACGAGCTTTCTGATGGCATGTCAACGTATGAGAAGAGCTATTGAATTCTATTTGACACCGCTGGCATATCATGGAAAAGATCTAGTAAAGGTGAATGCCAATGATGATACTTCTGAAGAAAGACTTTGGTAACAATGTCGGTCCACTCTTATTTATATATAATTGGATAGAGAATTTTAAGATGTATCGATTGATTATAAAAAATGAGGGGAGAGAAGAGTGGGTAACGACAAAGTGATCTTCGACCGACTATACATCGGTGAGAAAAATATGTAGTTTGAAAATTTTTCTAAACATAAATTCGTGATTTTGATCATATTTTTTCATATTGAACTCTGTGATGGAGTTCAGAAAGAAGTTTGAGATCGGTATATGGTTGGAAAAAGAAGCGAAGTTTCTCTTTTTTTAGGTGTATCTTACACTCATATGCAAACGTTTTATTGTTGGCTACTATATTGGCAATTAAATAAGTTGATTCACATATTCTATGGCATGGAAGGAACCAATCAATTATTATTTTGAAACTAATTACTGAATTGTATTGCCAATATCAATACGTAAACAAGTTTATTAGATGTTCCTCACGTAAAGTTTTAGTTGCCAAAAGTATGTCAAAATTTTTGTCTTTATCAACAGCATTTTTTATGATCTTGTCCTGTTGTTAATGGTAATGATTATTAGTGAATTTAAGTTTAAACCGTTCTAATAGTCTTTTCTGATAAAAAAAACATAGTTCTCATAGTAAACTAATTTATTATAAACATGCGTTGTCTATCTTTTCATCTTTGAAAAAGCAGCTGCAGACATTGTCAGAAGGGAGAGAACAGATGAATGCCATACATAGATGTCATCGTTCATCCATTTCAGACTAACCTTTATTGATGTCGCTTTTTGCACTCAATTACAATTATTACGATAAGCCAATAGTGCACAAAGCCTTTTCATTTCCATGAATTTTCGAAATAACTCTAACATCTTAGAACACAACAATACTGTCGGTATTGATCTACATTTATCCGTGACGAGATAGAACCGTTTAGTTTGTGTGATTAACCCATTGAAGAATAACAATATCTTGCTTTCTCTCTCCCTCATTTTATTTGGCTAATAACAACCTGGTTCTTTTTTTCGGAAAATCAAAAACAAAAAATAAATAAAACTTACATTGCTGGATTAAGAATAGTCTATGGGGTCTATGGCTGGAATGAGTTTACCACTCTAATCCTTTGTCAAGAAAAAACTCTACTCGATTATATTTTCTCGTATTGGTCGAAATTCTCACTCCATCTTGATAAATCACTAGAAGCAACATCATATNAAAAAAAAAAAAAAGAATAACAATATCTTTCATCGTGCAGGAACATCAAAAAGTGAAGAACAAAGGACATCTCGCTCTCTTCTTCCTTTTACTGTTGATCAGATATGCGCAAATGCTTTGTTTCACTCACAAGTGTCTGCTGTTCATCTAATATTCGCTCCATATGCGCCTATCGATACAGCAGAACGAAAAACGATTCTCTTGAATTTCACGTGTTTTCCATATGACGAAAGCGGTAGTAAACAGGCTAATATAGATTAGAAACATTTAACTTAAATACCATGTTGAGTCGGTCCAATCAAGAATAAGCATCTTGATCGAGTAATATTTCCTTCAATACGCATGCGAGAATCATATTCTAGCCATTTGTTTATTTTGTCTCGATGCTCTTCAGGAATTCTATAATGAAAATAAAAGATCACAATAAATCATTATAAAAAAAATCTTTACTTAAATGATGTTGAATCATACACTGGTTTATATTCAATTTCTTTTTGTTTTTCAATCTGTTGGAGTTCATATTCAACATTACCTCTCATTTGATTTCCAAAAGTCAGATACTCAAATGGAAAGGTATCTTTTATTACAGCAACGGCTAGAAGAGAAAATTTATCATTAGATGGATGACATAAATATTAAATAAAATAAACCATTAGCAAGTGATGCCTGCTTCAATACAGTTGAGGCTGCTTCCTGCTGTTTTTCACGATAATAATCTTTGAATGGAGATTTTTGTTTTTTTAGATGAACGAACTGATGATTCAATGTATCTTCCTTCAGATAAAGATTTAATTTCCTCATTGAAAAGATCACCATTTTCAATGAGATCGTCTTAGTTATTCTATCGAAGTTACTGTACTTGATTAAATACATGAAGCAAGATAAACTCGTTTAGTTTCCAAAGTTGTTAAATTAATTTCAAAAAGAGAACTAAAACAATTTTTAACACGTTCTCATAAAAGATTGAACTAGGCATAAATAATTATGGCAGCTATCCTCAACATTTGATAAAATAAAACAAATATTTCCTCATCTTTATATTTTTATTTAGCTTTCTTAAAAATTTTGATCAGGTCTCAATGACAGCTATAATTTGAGAGACATTTTTGTAACTAGGTGTTCAACGAGCTTCTTTACGTATATTTATTTATACCATTTATGTAGCAATCTCTATTTTAGGTCATTTTCAATTCAAGCATTGGCTTTGTCTGATGGTTAAATGTATTGATTGATTGAAACAGTTCAATGAAATCGTTGGTTTGAATGTTGAATATTGCGAAATATTGACTTCTGCTCATAAATTGGAAGAGTTTTTTCGAAACGAACTGTATTTTTTATCTATATTCAAAAATTACAGAAGGCAGCGACTGACTGAATTGAACTGATATTTCTATTTTATATTAACCTTCATGCGTCGGTAATTTTTGATTGTTAACGATGATTTTCAGTGATGTTTATTTATCTTTTGTAGATCTTGTAAGGCACAACGTTTTGACCAAGAAAGATTCAATTGTGTCAATTTCATGATATATTTCATATTGATTCAGGTAATTGTTTCTTGATATGTAACACAACACGAGCTGCTACTTTTCATTCAGTACTCTACATAAGTCTGGTTATATACAAGTCATACGTTAAGCTGTTGGCTTTGTAGAAAGATATTTTAAAGAGAAGTTCACCAATACCAACAACAAATTCATTTCCAACATCATAGAAAGTCTCACTGTTGAAAAATTAATAGCAGCATTTGAATCATCATCAGTAATAACGATATTTTTTGTTGAAGTAGAAAAACAAAGTTTACTTTTTTATGTTTCAGAAATTGAATTCTTCTAATGAGGATCGACCATAAACAGATTTTTAATTCTTTGATCCAAACTCTTCACGAGCTAAAGAAATAAATCTCGTTTAATATCAGCATTCAATGGTGTATATAAAATTCAAAGACCGACAAAAGTGGTTGTGCTCGAATTTAAGATCTCTGGAAATCTATACCCTCACACATTTAACCGTTTTATCACAAAATATCAGTTAAATAAATACATTCATTACACACATACACACACACATATATATATATACCAAGGAACATCAAAATCCATTATTACAACTTCTTTGTTTAGATTTTTCTTTGAAAATTCAGAATAGATAAGCCATCTGAAGAGTCCTTTAACGTGAACGAAATTGATCAGGGTAACTTCTTCACAACCTCTTTTCTCTTTTATGTGTTATAAACACCTCGTTTCATATATTTTTCTTTCTGTTCAAAAGTTTTCTTCTATTGATTGGACACATACTTGACTGTTATAAACAGCACGAAATTTAAAATAAACCAACAACTGCCAAATTTGAACGCTGAATTATATTGAACAATTATATCCTTCTAGCATTATAATTAGTTTCCATTCGACTTTTAGGTATGACACGTATGGAAATAAGGCGAGGATTAATTTAATGGCAGTATGCATTTCAAATGTATCAGCATTCTATTATTTTCTAATGAATTGTTGATAGATTTAAGAATGAGATCTGAGCGTGGGCGTGATCACACAAAGCAAGATACCCGCACCCCACACCCACACCTTCATGTCAGGTGATTATCATCTTGTATTTATCTTGCAACTGTACTAAATCAGATGGAATACGTATAATAAAATAGTGCACAATAAACAATAAATGTCTCATCGTTATTAGGTTAATGGAATATATCTAACCGAAGAGTGCTATAAAACACTTCGTCGCAATTAATAGACACTAGTGGGTGCCACTGCATTGGTTTGATACAACGATCCAATTAACTTTTTTAGAATTTTGTTGACCACATCGGGTAAACATCCAATGCAGAAAAATGGTAGTAGAAGCGTGAGTAGCCAGAATAAATAATAAAAGTATACCATTTCAATATAGGCAGCAAAATCGTGTAGTCCAGCGAAAATCTCGACAAAACGCACTAGAGCAGGAGGTAAGACGCAAGCTAGAAAAAGACATGATATGGATAAGAGTTGCAAAATCATTTTACGATGATTTCGCCAATGGATCAATTGGTGGCGACGTATTCGTTTTTCATATAGGACTCTAAGGATAAGACTGATGCTAAATAATGCAATAAAACACGCTGGTAGAAAATAATGTGCAAATAGTTCGTAAATTGATATGATCGAATTATGTGTGTAACACGGTACACCACAAAGGGGTACACTGAATTCGAATTCTCTCTCGCATGGAAAATAAAAGATGACTGCAACATAATATACAGTCAGATAAACGCCGATCATCAATAAGGGCAAGTAATGTGCGTACAATCGACGTTTCGAAGAGTTGAAAAAATGAACGTGGAAGACAAACAGATGCCGTTCAAATGATGTCCACACCATGATCAAATTTGCTTCAGCACTTAGAAAATAATCGCACCACTGCCAGATGAGACAATAGACATCATTTTTTGGTCTCACAATGCCCATGTGCAAGTAGAGTAAAACACGAGGTATTTCAAATAGATTTGTCAGCAAACTAACAATGAGTAGTGCAAAAATTGCATGATTATGGAATGCAGTTCGAAACTTTCGATCGGTAATGAGGTAATAAACGAAGAGAAAATTGCAAAGAAGAGCGGGAGGTTCGAGTGCAAGAAAAACATAGAATTTGATTTTTCGAGTGAAAGGAGTTTCAGTAACGGGTGATGATGATGCTGTCGAGTTATTCTTAAGAAAATTCATTCCTGTATGTGAAAAATAATATAGACTCTTCCTGATTCAATCACGTTGAAATGGAAAGATGTTTTCTCAGTCATCCTGATATTCCTGTTTAATTTTCTTTCTCTTTCTACTGTTTCAAAGTGTGTTCACACTATTTTTTGCAAACAAGTATTGCATTTCACAGTAAATAATAACTATCGAGAGCTCCGTAATCGATGAACGACACAATAATCGTATTTACTGGTAAATCATACACAGAAATTGTTAAGGATCAAGTGTTCATTTCTCAGAAAAGAAAATGAAAGAAAAATTATAGCACCTGGAACTTGTTTTTCAATTGGTGCTATGCCTTTTATCGTTGCTCATTAGCAAGCTTCATAAATTTCTTGTTTGATTCTTATGGATTATAATATACACGGTGCGGAAATTAAAATTTCTGTATAAAAGTATGAGACAATTCAAATACTGTCGAGTTTCAAAGAGAATCACTAAGCATAATAATATTTTGAATATCTGTTGAATAATGTAAAGCTATTCAGTCCAGATGTCAAAGATTGATTTTAGGGATGTCAACTCATAAGAATTCCTATTGACTTCGCAGCACTTTTCTGGTTATTTTTGCACATATCTATTGGGCTCACTATTTCGATTCATATTTGATCTAACTATATAATTAGGCTGAATATACTACGATTTTTTCGGCTCGATCATTATATAGTAACCACTTTCTCGAAACAATCCGAATAGACTAATACTAGGACTAGAATAGTAGTGAGAAAACGTTTGTTTCCGATAGAAATTTCATGCTTTTCCGTGTTTTGAGAAACTGAGCTAGATTTGTCATCCGAAGGAACTGCTGTCATTGACAAAGGAATTACACTATCTGTCAGGATTCTAGATAAATAGCGATTCTAATAAGAATACTTCCCACTTAGTTTTTTCAGCACGCTGTGATGAATATTGACAAAAAAAATCCAATTCAATCGGTGCTGGCAGCAAAGTTCACTTGACTTCTTCGAATTTTCAGTTTCTTAACGGTGAATATGCTTCAATAAAATTGGATCTTGGCACGTGTCTAATCTATACATTTTAATCTATTATTTTTAATAAGTGCTTTAATAAAAACGCAACATCGAATAATAAAATGATTAGATACAAAGATCTTGTTTTTTATCTCTTTACCTTCATAGTTGACTATGGCTTCTTTAATTTCTAATCGGCATTACCTTGAATTACACTCATTTTTCATAGCCTTGATTTCTTGTAATTTATCTTTTTCAATATTTCAACTTTTTTTTTATGTCGTGCGATAAAACAGTGTTCAATTTTTCTAATGCTCTAATATTTTGTTGGTTACGTCCTTGTTTTTTAAATGTGCGTATATCTAATATGCATTTGACAAAATTGAATCTTTTTTTCACGATCATGTAACAGCTTTATTAAACAGTGACGATGGTCTGACATTTCGTTTACATGTCTTGCTTGAATTTAACTCTCTGTGATTTGACTATCAAGCATATGTCGAGTAATTTCACAGAACGATCATTGTAGCGGTTATAACGGGCAAAGACAATGATTTATACTGTCGTTTCATACAGATTGAGGTTGTGAACAGTCTTCAACTGGCGTTTGGTATGAACACTTTTGTAATCCTTTTTATCATACCATAATTTTGCCGCTACTAAAAGCCTGAAAAATGACTGTTTACGGCCAGGCAAGTAGGCATTTTTTAATCATTTCAAACTATTTTATTTTTCTTTAAACGTCTGCATGGTAATGTGACTGTTTTTATTCATGTCAAATAAAATGGAGCTTGAGCGACTAAAAGATTTTACAGTTTTTTCTCTCATATTTAAACAATATAGACCTAAACGCTTGATGCATCTGAACTGTCCTATACTTAAACAACCTCATCGAGATTATTCAGAAAAAAATTCAAAAACATATTTCTGAAGTTTGTCAGAACTAATAACTGAAGCGCATTATATTCTGCTTCGAATCTAATTGTATGTAAGTATTGATAACATTCACACTCTTCACGAACTAATATTGAAGAGAAATGCATCATGCTGTGTCTTTTCTACTCGAAATAGACTAGCTTACATTATAATGCATTTTTAT